AAATACCTGAAACAAGAGTAAGAACTCTGACTGTTGCTGACCCCACAAGTCTTACTGTGGCATTTACCCAGCAAAGTATCATCCCAGAGGAGGAGTGGACTGGCAAACAAGTGGCATCCAGATCTGGGGAGGATTTTTTCATCCATAATGTTCATGCATTGCAGTTGTCAGTATTTCATCTGCATCATTAGGATTTTCAGTATGCAGTATCCTCCTAAAAGGACATTAGAAACATTCTGTGCTGTATAAGGTAAGGATGTGTTGCTTCTACTGAAGACTTCATAAGACATGAGGTTCAATCTCTTATAGTCTACAGAAGTTAATGGGATTTCATGTGTATTTAAAAGGCTTCCAAAGCATCCTCAGTTTGGCCTTTGGCACTTAGGATTCCAACAGGCTGAGCTGAAGGTCATTGAAGTTAGTGGATGAAAGGACTTAGAGTTGGACTAAGCGGTAAGAAAGCTGATTTTACTGGAATTAACAGCCTCTTTAAGCTAGAGATGGAGATGAGAGAACATGATAAATGCATTTAAATGGAAAAAATGCATTATGCTATTTTGGAAACAACAAAGAAAAAAAAATGTGTTCATAAAGGAATTCTTATTTTCTCTCATAGCTCTTTTATAGTGTGCTGGTTTTGGATCAATGACATTTTCCATGCACAGGGTGTCAAAAACAGTCTGAATTTTGGAAATAACCATCATACTCTATTCCTTGTACACATGCTGCTTTCCACCCACTCCCACAGCCCCAAACAAGAGTCAGTCTTGGATTATATAGAAAAGATAGTGTCTCTCCTTGTAAGATGATATCCTCATGTATTTTGCATATATTGTGGTCCAGGTATAATAATACTTTGTATTTTGCATATATTGTGGTCCAGGTATAATAATACTTCTGCACTGATGTTACAGACAGTTTTGTGTACCTAGAGCCATAGTAGTAGTTAAAGGTTTTTTGGTAGATTGCCAAAGAGCGTTGGGTGGGTCAGAGTTGCTGTCTTCTCTTCCTACTGCTGATGTATCACTGTCTTGTCTCTGATTCTGTTCTTGTTTCTGCTGAACTTTCCATGGGAACTTGGGCACAGGTACAAAGTGCTCAGGAGCACTCAGAGTTTGTAAGGGAGTATGGTGTGAAGGGTGGTTGTTGTTAACCTCTGTCAGATGGCAAGAAGCAGGGTGGGGTTTTGAGTGTGCCATCTGAAAGGGGTACAACCCAGGGCACAATGCAAGGATGGGGATAAGGCACTGAAGTAGAATGTAGGAACTTGGCATATTTTGGGGGTTTTGGCCTTCTGCTAATTTTTAGGGTTTGTCCTTGATCCAACTTGCAAGACAGCATTTCTGGGGCATGCAATTTCCTGCAGGCTCTACAGAATGAGTTAGTTTTAATTTTGCCTTTTTCTGCTTCATTGTCTAATGTGGTGCATGTATTTGCAGATGGAACAGAGAGTGGCAGTTTCTAGCAGACTGACTTTATTACATCGAAAGGCTTGTAGAATTATAGAATAGTTTGGGTTGAAGGGACTTTCAGAGGACATCTAGTCCACAAGCTTTGATGGGACAGTCAATGGAAGTATTAAGTTGTGCATACAAATTATAATGAATTGACTTCTAACTGTAATAAAGATTAATTGTCTTGTCCTAGATGCTACAAATTACTTACATTATGATTTTATGTGAATAACTAATAAATTATATGAAGGAAGGAAAGTATTAAAAAACCCTACCCACAGCATAGGTGTATTTCATTTGCACATCTTCATTAATGTGCATTTGAGGTCATGAAAGCATTGTACTGATTCCAGCTTTTACCCAGCTAGACAAATGCAAAGAAAAAATAAAATGATCCCCAAATTAACAATCTTGTACATGTTAATCTTCAAGAGATTGAAAGTTCCAATCTTCAAGAGATTCAAAGTAACACTTTATATGAAGACAGCATACTAAAACTTGTTCTTGTGCTTCAGTAAATGCAATGTGGCATTTATGTGTCTTTGGAAACCTGACCTAAAATGTGACTGGTTTTGCTCTAACTGAGAAAACAGTGCAACTTTAATGTAGTTTGGGGGCATTTTAGGCTAAATGTGGATTGAAAATGTATGTTCAGCTATATATATCTTCAGTTCTAACCAGTTGCAGGCAAAACCAATTGCAGATCATGTTTTTGCTTGACATGAAGGTGGAGTGAGTCGATGACTTAAGAGTGAGTAACTTAAGAATATGTAAATAGAAGAATATGGTAAATGCTGGTTTGAACCAGTCTAACATTCTGTAGCTGCACTTTCGACTTGCAGGAAGAAATGTCAAGTGTTCATCAGTCATGTTATATTTGAAGGTGCTTTGCTTAGAATTTAGTGTCTTATGAAAGCCAGTATGGAGGTATATGCATTTAGGAAGAGTTAATATTTTAGCTACCTTTAGCAGAGAAAATACAAACAATCCCCCCAACAGAACAGCTGCTGTCATTATTATAGATTTCTTCATTTGAAATAAGTATCCCAAACAGTGTAAAAGGATGAATAATTTTAATGAAACTGATGCAAAAGAAGTGGTTTGCACTCCCAGTAAGTGAGGATGATTTCCATTCTTTTTAAAATGTTCACTCCACATGTTACCTAAAGCTTTTTCCATTGAAGATGTACCTCATAAGAGCTTGCAAATAATTTGCCCTTGTATTTTGTTTTTGATTTATTTTTCCTTTCTTCTTCATAGTACCAGCCTGTAAGGTCTAGGGTTAAATTGTAGAACTTGTTCCTAATGTAATTCCTTCTCTTCCCACCCCAATTATGTTGCTGTCAGTCATATGACTTGCTGTTGTTCATGGGGCACTAGCGGAAAAAAAGGTGAGGCTAGTAGAATTGCAGTCACTGTATACCCAATCCATTTCCTAAGCAAATGTCTTATCAAAACTGTTCTGTACAAGCTGTAGTGGGAAGAAAGGTCTTTTGGGGGGTTTGGGTTTTGATGTTTTCATTTGTTTGTATTTTGTTAATTGTTGGGTTTAGTTCTGTTTTGGTTTTTTTTATCTTGCTTTTTCTGAATGCTCAGCCACTTAATTGGACCAGGAGGAAGGAAAAGATGGGTTTGGTGCTTTAACTTTTAGTTGCATAAGGAGTTCTTTTTTCAGACAAATTCCTACTTAATAGTTCATTATTATTAAATCGTATCTGCCCTCAGTCAAGAGATTGCCTTTTGCTCTCTGCAGCATGTGTCAGTCAAAGCATGTGAGTCATATCAGAGTGCCAGTGAACATATTTACGTGCCTGGATGTACAGGCAACTCACATACTGAAATAACAGATACAGAATATTTCAAGTGCCCTAGAAACTGGAATCCTAAATGCCAAGCAAAGCTCTGAGATTGCATCTATCTCTTCTCGTATTTCAACATCAACCAGACTTTTGGCCTTCATCCTATTACATTAACTCATCAATCTCTCCTCTGGCTGTACGGTCGTTACAAGATGACGAGATATGAGTTACCTATTTTCCGTTTCACCTTTCCCTGACACTTCCCCAATTTAATTTTCCTGTTGCTTCGTTAGTGCAAAAATAGGCTAAACCACAGTGAATCTATGACTCTAGTATGCTGTCTTCTGAAAGAATATACGTTATGACATATAAATGAACTCAAAGTTCTTCTGTTAGTGATTAGAATATAAAATAACTCAGCTTTAAAAGGACTTCAGATTATCTTTTCTAAGTCTTCAATTTTCTAATGATTTAACAAATAAACAAGAAGGAAAAAGAAGGAACTTCTGTTTGCCATAAATATGTATGTTTGCTTTTTCCAAATAGTCAGTAAACAAAATAACTTGCTCATTGCCCAGCTCTTCCACTGCGGCCAGAGCCCTCTATTGTCTTTGTATTCATTGTTACTTTCTTCACAAAGAAGAAACTGGAGGAAAAGCTTGAAACTCATTCTTGTCTGAGGGTTTTACGGAAGACAAGGCAGGAAAAAGCTTAGGATTGGGTTTGTGTGTGGGTTTTGTTTGATTTGTAGTGGGGTTATTTTGAAGAATCCTATCTGATTCCTTTTGCTTTTAAGTGTCAACCCTTCATCCTTGATGTGATTTCTGTTAACATCACCAGATATTTTCCTCAGCATCTGGTACACTGAGCTAAATAACGTGTACAAAAATTAACTTGCATCTGGATCTAGTGAAAATACGGAAGATACTCCTTAGTGCAGTGTTCCTTCATGCCTGGGATAGTACATTCTTCAAACTGCAGTTTATTTATGCTAGCACCACTGTATTACTTACTTAGGAATTCTAAAAACGTAACATTCAGCTTGTGACTGTGGGAACAAAATGTTGTTTATAAGTACAGCAAAGCTAAGCCTCTTAAAGAATAAAAAGGAGTGGGAAATGCATCTTCGATTTTCTAGTGAATGGGAGATGTTTGGTGAGAAGGATGTATGTTGAAATGGTTCAGGAATAAGATAATCAGATGATACGTGGTGTATCCCCTGCTTTAGAAGTTTCTATTTCAGTGGTCTTCCTGTGTACTTCAGGACCAGGTATCTGGATATTCGACACATGGATTGAAGGATGGATTTTTCAGAAAAACTATAGATCCTATAAAAGCATAACCAAAGCTGGTTAAGTGGAGAAGACGTGTCAGCTTTTATCAAAGTGATTCAGAAGTAGAAGTTAGTGGGTTGTTTTTCATTTTTTTTTTTGTTGTGGGTTGTTTTTTTTTTTTGGCTACAATGTTTGGAACACAAAAGCTGGTTTAGATATTTTCCAAAAAAAGAAAATGAGACATTGACCGAGTGTCCAGTGTTTTCATCTGCTCTGCTCCTTGTCTCTGTGTCTTGACAGGAGTTGTGTTTCTCTGGACTTCTGTTTTCTTGCATCAGAGAGTTTTGGAATCTTGTTAGTGGCTTTTGAGTAATAACATTAATACTGGACTTGTGTTAAATAATTTCTCTTAAAATGAGCTAAATGGATGTAGAACACAATCAGATTAAATAGGCACACTGTTTCTTTTCTAGTGAACAAGCACAAGCCCTGGATTGAGACGTCGTACCATGGAATCGTAACTGAAAACAATGACACTGTAATCCTGGATCCTCCCCTTGTTGCTTTGGATAAAGATGCACCTGTTCCCTTTGCAGGTAGGAATATCAGCATTTTTAATAATGAAAACTCAAGAATTATGTCATTAAATTTGAATTTTCTTTTATAGAAAAGAATCATTACAATTGCCTAAAATAATAATGTGTAGTTAATTTTTTTTAGTAATATCAGCCTTTGCTTCCTCTCTTCTGGTTCAGCTCCCTGGCTATGGACAAAACTCTGTGACAAATAATGAATGTTACTCAAATCTTATATTACTTTGTTAGTCTTTTATAACTGTCAAGACTTAGACAGAAAATTTAATGGAGGTTTTGAAGATTTTTGTTCAGATTGTTATATGATAGATCTAAGTCATATAGACGTTTTTACTTGTATTAAGTCTATTTTTCCTGACACTTAGGAGTTCATGTCAAGCGAATTTTCCCTTAAGTTCCCTGTTTCATTATAAATATTTTTTTGAATTAAAGGGAGGATATTAAGACTTGATAGCTGTTGTGAAGCTCCTAAATAAGATGTTAAAAAAGTTGCATTAAGAATGTTTGTCTTTAATAAGGAAAGGAACTAGCGAAGATAAGTATCCTTTATCTTGTGGAATACAGTCATGTTCAATAACTACTAAGTACTTGGCCAAATCGGTATTTTAAAACATCAGGTAAGATTAAACATTTTCCCTAAAGGCATGTAGTGGCATCAACTCATCCTCTGTGAAACAGGGATTCACAAATGCTTTTTATATATTGAACCCAATTTTTTTATCTTGTATCAAGATTGGTTTGTCACAGGTAGTGTCCCATGATTTTTGGTTGCACAGAAGACTATTTTTTCCCTCAACCATGTATGCACTGGGGATGTTCAGTGCAGGGGACTTGGCTTAATTTGGTCAAAGCTAAAAGCCTCAAATAGTATAGATGCTTAGATACAGCAACCTCAGCATGAAACAGGTCCCATGGCACCAAGTTACGTCCTAATCAATGTCCAGTTGGAGATAATGCTTAAATCAGTTACTAGTTTTTGAAGCAAAGGAAAAAGTACTTGATTCCAATTTTCTTGTTTATTTTAATATATAGCTGACTCTTCATGAATGAATTAAAAAAAGAATGGAATGAGACTTTAAATGCAAGGATTTAATCTGTCCGTGAAATCTTCAGCTATGGTTGTTTAGCAGTGAAGATTGACTCCTAGTGAAAAGATGCCCTTTTCATTTGGGGAGGGGCAATTTTTCTATTGCTATGAATGTTCCATCTCCTATTTGCTTCCTCTGCTTGCATTCCCTTGGGACCCTTACAGGAATGTGAAATCACATGTGCTGTTTCCATTGATACATTTACAAACTCTTTGCTGACTGAGGATTTACTAGCCTGATTACTGTATTCAGTTTTTACACTGGGACAATCGACACATGAGCAATTTACTCTTCTTGTAGAAAACCATCCTTTGAAATACTGAACTTACACAGACAGATTGACTTTTGTGATAAAGGTTATATCAGAGAGGAGTTTTCATTTATTGTCTTCATTGATTGATTTGAATTATTTATATTTTAAGAAGTATTATTTGTACTTGGAGAGAAAATACTTGCTGTGTATTCCCTGATATTAATAGTTCATTTCCACATAATACTGTTCATTTGGCCTCAAGGACTGCAATCCAGACATAATGTTATAGCACTGATTGAACATTAAATTCACATGAAGAGGCCACCTTCCCTACCTGTTCGGAAAAAACTCTACGTGCTTTTTCTTTTAAGACTCTTGCCTTTTTAAATTGTTGGAGTAACTTCTTATTCCTGTTTTAAGTTTCTGCTTTAATATAATGTAATTTTATTCAGCTTTATAATATTGTTAATTTTATTATAGGCCATTATGGAAAATTCCATTTGTGTAATGTATTTAGCAGGAGAAAACTGACAAGAGATAGAGCTAAAACATTAACAATATTTAATAGCAGTACATTTAAGAGTATTGTAATGCGGATTTTTTTTCTGTTACCATAATTTAAGCGTGGAAAATGTATTCTACAGTATGATAAATCAGTCTTCATTTGTACCAGAGAACCAGAGCCCCAGCAGTTCCTTTCCATCACCTTATTAATATTTTCAGTATTTTGTCCAACTATTGTTAAAAACCCATATATTTGTTCCATATTTATTCCTGTATCTTGCTCGTGAGGGTATAGTTCTTTTGGCACCATGCTTAGCTTGTGGAAGTAAAGGTAGTTATTTCTTGTTTATGGTCATGGCAAGGAGAGCTTCAGAGAGGAGGTGCAGTAGTGTGAGGTCAGAAGGTATGCCAAGTCACAGAGTGTGCTGGAGCTGTACACTGGAGACTATAAACCTCAGTGAGATTTTTTTTTTTCCTCCAAGTTGTCTCCATTATGCTTTATAAATCTGAGTTAGTGCTGAAGTTTGGGATGTCTGTAGGTAGGCTAGGACTGTGATCTCTAGGATTATAATGGTAGCAAGATGTGCACTATCAATAGGAGATACCAACAGGTAATGAGATGGCAGTGTTCTTTCAGTGCAGAAAAGCACAGGTCTCTTGTATAGCCCTGGCTTGAAGGAGCCAGGAGGGGCTGCCACTCACTATGCAGGCTCTTTAAAAGCCCTGTGAAAGTTCAGTTGTTTGTGGCATAGACCTACTCTAAACTATTTCTATTTTCTCTTCTGGAAACTTTAACACTGCCCTAATACCTGTTGCTTTTTTCCTCTCCATGGCTACTAATGTCTTGTCAAACTGTTCTGGTAGTACACACATTACGGTACATGTCAAAGCCCTAATCATGGACTGGTCACAAAATTGCTATAATCTGCACTTTTTTTCTCTGTCTTGTTGTTTAAAATCAAGGGTGATGACAGGAGGAGAAAGGAACCTTCTGTGCAGTTACCCTCTCAACAGGTCTGTGTTTCCACAGGGGACTAATAAGAGACTATAACAGGACTAAGTGTACCTGTGAAAATGCTGGCTGTCAAATGTGATCAGCCCATTTCATAACTGGAGCATGAAGACTTTCATGAGATTGCAGTCTTTGGTATTTCTTCATCTTACGAAGTTACTGTGAACTGTGAATTGTGCAATAATTGGAGTATATGTAAAATCGTAGTTTAAAAAATTACCATGGTATGGGCATATTTACTTTATCTTTTTCATTCTTCAGACTCTGAGTAGATCTTTTTGACCCCTAGTTTTGAAGGAAAGCTTTCAAATACTTGCAAATGGTTAGGTGTAAGAAGGAATGTGGATAGTTTTCTAGCTTAAGTTTTTCAAGTCTTGACCTGAAAGGGGTTTTCACACACTGGTGTTGAGATATAACTGATCTTTAAGATAACTGGACTCACCACAGCTGCCTTGAAGGTGTCACAGTGAAAGCCTTGACAAACCCAAGCCCCCAAAACATGAACAAACTGCAAGTCTTGTAGAAACAGGTTATGCCTTCCCTACTTTTTTTCAAACAGTATTGTGTTGGTGCAGTATGGGCTTACTTATTATCTTATTTAATTTAGGGAAATCCATTGGAGGAATCTATTTAAAATAATGTTATAAAATCTATTCAAAATGACTGTAACTTCAGGTAGACTTGCACTAACGTGCAGGATCAGCCATACAACAGGCAGCTATCATATGCTGGTTATGAGGCTGGAAATCACTTCAGGGATTTGACTTTCAGGTTTAGGAGTGGTTTGGCTAGTGTCGTGGTTTAAACCCAGTCAGACAACTTGTTCACTCACTCCCAGTGAGTGGTGCTGGGCTGACAACAATCGAGCCCCCCCCCCCCCTCCCCGGGGCTCTCCCCTTCCCCGCTCCTGGAGGAACAGGGAGGAGGATCAAAAGAGTGCAACTCCTACGGGTTGAGACAAGAACAGCCCAGCAACCAATGTACAACACAAAGCACCACCGCTACCACCACCAACAACAATGATAAGAGAAAATAACAAGGGAAGAGAATACGATACCACCGGCCAAGAAACGAGTCCCACCCAGAAGCCCGTGTCCTTCCGGGTAACTCCCAGTTACCCCCCACCCCGGGTATGACGTGCTGTGGTATGGAATACCTCCTTGGCTAGCCCGGGTCAGGCGCCCCGTCTCTGCTTCCTCCCAGCTTCCCCTCCGCCCTGGCAGAGCATGAGCCTCACAAAGTCCTTGGTCAGGGTAAACATCACTTAGCAACAACCGAAAACATCGGTTTCACCAACATTGCTCCCCGGCTGGAAGTCAAAACACAGCACTGCACCAGCTACCACAGAGGAAAAACATGACTGCTACTGCTGAACCCAGGACAGCTAGAAACAGGATGAGATCATCTGAATTAATCTGACAGTATTCTCTTTCTGTGATAGCAAGAAGCCCTCAGAAAATGATGTAGGAGTTGGGAAGGCTTTTTTGAAAGGACATCTGTCTGCATTTCAGTAACAGCAACTCCATTTCATCAGCAGTGTTTGTGCAAAAGTATATGTGAAAGGAACTTCAGGATGTCTCGAGTCCCTCCTCCTGCCCAAGGCAGTACCTATTGTACCTGTGCCATTCCTGATAAATAGTGGTCTGTCCTAATCTTAAAGATCTGTCGTGACAGAGATGCAACAACTTCCCTGGGCAATCTGTTCCACGCTTCACCATATTCAGTGGTTTTTTGTCATGCTTAACCAGAACTTTCTGTACTGCAGTTTTAGCCCATCAGTTTTTCCCTATCCACCATGGCTAGGTGCAGCAGATTATTCCAGTTCATTTTTTGCAGCAATGGCCTTCTATGTTATTCCCTAAAAGCACTGTGAGCATCCTAAATAGCACAGGGATTGGGGGTGCCTTTGGCTAGCCCTTGTGTTACTGATACAGGTATGAAGCAGAGAAGTAGGAGGTCACTTTCAGAACAATGAGATGATGAATGCCCTTTTCACCTTGAAAGCGAAGAACCCAACTTTTCACTGTATCACTGTTACTAGCCTGATAGACTGGCATTTGAGTGCCATGTGTCCAGGGTTAAGCTAAATAGTTCCAGCACTGTGAGCTGGGATCAATAGGTCTTAAGCTACTTTTACGCTCTGCAT